TATATATAAGAAGTCTTAATTTTACGTATGAAATATACTATTTTTTCCCCGTAGTCTTAGAGAATCAAAGTATTTTTTATTCACCTCACTAACCTATGAAGCCACGCATTGGATACTTTCAATAAAAACGAAAATTGCAATACCAGAGAAGTATAATAATAGCTATCACCCTCAGTCACGCCAACTATGTAAGGTACCTTACAATACCACCCAATAGCTAAGAAAGCAAGAGTCATAAACACTCTTTTAAACTGAATTTTCGAACTTCTAGTTATTACTTCCGGTCATACAAACTCATGATGAACTAGGCATGATATATACTGGCATCAGTCATTCTAGCTTTATGGTTTCAAGAGGAAATTACACAATGTATTATATACACTGTATGATGAATACAACTTGGTAGTTTAGAAAGCAAGGATCACCACTTCCTTCCAATAATCAGGTTCTTATTCTAGCTCTGATGATCGAGTGGCAATCATACTATGTAGCTCATAAATTGTATCTTACAATACCACCTAATAGCTTGAAAGCAAGGAATGTTACTTTCCTTCAGTCATTAGTTTCTCAACCAAATGACTATCCTAGCTGGTTTATTCCCAGCCATATCTTCCTCGGGTCAGGATGGGATAAAACAATGGTTTCATCTTCATCCAACTCGACTACCTCCTCTCCTGATTTTTGATCAAGTTATTTCGCCAAAAGTTCATCAGTCACATACGGACACAGCTGAATGATGTATATATACTATATTGTTTTATGTTCCTTTCAACCACTGTAACTCATACATTTATGATCTGACTCATTGGAGCACAAGATGTGGTCAAGTCAATCAGGAGCCAAGTGGCTTCTGTGCTGTTGATATATATCAAAGTCACACCCAGTCTCCACTTTGGTACATTTGTTCCTTCACTTTTTTTATCGTAGCACATCGTCTGTCATTGCCCATTCGTGCATGTCTATTAATACAGACCTTAACCACCCCACATATTCACGTGAATACTGTGGGATGTCTGCTCTATGTAAAGGATCATACATCACATGTACAGATAGCAAGACTTCACTAAACATTAGCATATTTGACAAACAACCTGTGGATATCTGTTCAGTTGCATGATATGCTATTTATATGTTGGGTAAGTGCTATTCAACGTTGGTCTGGATGGATTTAACAATTTTAGCAAGCAAACACTTGACAGTCTATATCACTCTTTCCACTAAACCGTCAAACTGGGGGTGATAAGTTGAAGCTCGCATCTTCACTGCACAGAACACTTTACACCACTCAGAGAACAACTGGCTGTTAAAATTAGTCCCTTGATCCATGTAGTTCTCTTCAGCTGCCTCGAATCAGGTTATTGAGTGCTTTGCCAGTACCTCAACCACAGACTGTGCAGACATATCAACCAATATATATGAAATGACCCACTCTGTGAAGTAGTTGAAGACCACTAGTTTATACAGATAACACCTTCCACCTCTTTTGGAGGACCCATGATATTTGAAGCTATTCTCTTCAGAGGAGAACCAACAATTCTGTGCTGGAGTTTACCCTTTTTAGGTTGACGTTTTCTGTGGTGTACACATACCTTACAGTGTTCACACCAGCACTGAATGTCTTGATTCAAATGTGGCCAGAAGAATCACTGTCGAGCATTGGAACAAGTGTGTGTGTAACACCTTGGTACCCTCCAGTTGTTGTGTTATACAAGTCTGGAGAACCTTATGCCTCAAATCTCTAGGGACCACTATTTTAACGCGGGCTGAAAACACTTATCATTGTTTGATAACAACGGTGCACTCATAACCAGTTTTACAAGTGGTATAGGTTATGTGCATTCATGCTACTTGGTTCTACAGCTACTCTTTCCAGAACTTCAGAAGCGTTGATTGTAGCGTCCATCCACTAGTGGAAACTCTTACCATATGGCTTGCCATCATCATAGCAAAAATGGTCTTAACTCCACATGATATCCAGGATCTGGACATTCAATGAATTGGCATTGTTTCACCATCTGATTAGATTGTCTATCTGTATTTCATGTTGTGGGTCCAGATGATAATGTATGAATAAATTATAATCTTGTAATGCTGTTTATCAACCATTTCAGAGACGCATATTCCACTCGAACAGTAAACTTTCTACCATAAAAGTAGTGCTTAAAGTGTTTTACAAAGATAACAAATGCAAGCATTTCTTTTTATTGTTGTTGTTGTACAACATTTGCATTCAGGAGTCATGAGTGTACAACTCGCATATGTGAATGGATGTTCTACTCCATCCTACAACTATGAGAACACCAGATCACAACTCAAATTCCACTACTGCTGGTACTGATGTCTAGCAGGAATTCACAGGGCTTCTATTAAAATATAAATTAGGAACTTGGAATTCTTGTTTCCATTCCTCACTCCATCTTGAAGTGTGTCTCTACCTTAGTAAGAGTTGATAATAGTGAATAGTCTAAGAGCAATTGGCCAAAAACCGTCGTTAATATGACGTGAAACCATGAAAACTGTGGATTTGTCATATGGTCACAGTTTGAAGCAAATTTTGCACAGCTATTTTTCGGCAGAATCCACGGAGATCCCTTCTCTACCCACAATATGACTGGAAGTTCCATTTTTATTTGCACGAGCACATATTTTCTGGGTTTTACTTTCAAGCCTGCCTTTCCAATCCATAGAACACCATTTTCAGGTTCTCAGCTACAGATTCAAACATGAGACCAAAGACCATGACGTCACCAACATAAATCAGGCACTTCTACTATTGCAGTTCATTGAGTGTAAGCTACATTGGTCTCTTGAAAGTGGCGATTACATTACACAAGACAAACAGTATTTAAACTCGTACAACCCAGTTCTTGTGCTAAAATAGCCATAGGTTTACTCTTATCATCCAGTCTGATTTGCCAGTATAGAACAAATGGGCTCATTCCAGTGAGCCCAGACATTCGTCTGTTCACGGTAATGGAAAGGGGTCAATGCGAGTTACCACATTCACTCATCTAAAATCAATACATGCATACAAAACCTTGGATACCTTTCTTCTTTCTGGCAATACTACGGGAGAGGACTAAGTACTCTCTGAAGACTCTATTATTCCTTCAGTACTGGCCACGTCCCTGGAGTCCAGGGAGTCCTGTGCAGCAATTATTCAATCAAATGTGTCTATGTAATGTTATTTGACTTTGGTTCGATCCAACCTGTCTTACAAATACATCGGCATATTCTACCAACATATCACTGAGTTCCTGTCGCTTCGTTGTGTCTAGAATGTTTGCACAATCCTAACCTAGACATCTCAGATGTATTGGTAATCATGTAGCTACTTTCAGATGTAGCACAATGGAAGGAACCATAGTATTACCGATGCATTAGTTACTTCTACATTGTTCACCGTGCCAATGCCATTTCAACTTGTTTCTGGCTAGCCGATGGTCCATGGTTGCAGAATAAAACCAGGATTTCATTCTCCTTTCCGACAGATAAATGCCAGAATTAATACTTCTTGCCTTCTAGCTTGGCAAAAAATCAGCCTCTTTTACGCGTGGGTTCAATTACCGTTTTATTACTGTTGTTATTCAGGAGTGTTCCTTCAGTGTATGTAACTGCGCAGCGTGTTTAACATTAATAGACATTTATTGACGTCTATCAGCGTAAAGAATATATCCCTGCTACCTTTTCAGGATTAAATAGTTTCAACTGTCATAAATGGAACGTTATGTATGAAATAATTGTTTGTTTTAAAGCAGACTCACATTAGGCTATCTGCTGAGTCCACCGCGAGTACTCGAACCCCGTATTTTATAGTTAGAAGTACGTAAACTTACCACTGTCCCACCGGGGGAAGTATGAAATAATATTACTAATAAAGCTTACTAAACTGAATCTTTTAAAACCCCAACAAAAACTACTTAGCCTAACACTAAATAATACATATATTTATGATATATTTTTAAGTTGATAACTACTGTGTCAAATTAACAATAACAAAAAGGCAGAATTAAAGAACGAAAAGAATTAGTGAAAAAAAAAACCCGGATATCGTGATTTTTTTTAGAGAGTAACCATTTTACGGACAGTATTATCACTTTTAATATGCTGAAAAAAAGATCTACTTCCCGAAATAGTTCGGATTATTTATTTATTTGTGTGTGTTTGTGTGATTTATCTTGTTTTTGATCCTGTATGGTTCATGAAAATATGCATATATAGGTAATACTATGTTCATGGATTCCGGAAGACTCCCCGAAGCGTTTCGAAAAAATCCTAATACTGCAATAGATCGAAGAAAGAAAGAACTAGTAGCATAGCTATGCAAATCCAGCATGGTTTGGTCTTGTCTGAGTTAGTGTTGTTCAACATCATCGTTCTCCGAAATGGAAATTGTTACAAAGAGATACCTTGAAATGTCTTCACTGCAAAATCTCATGGAAGAAATAAATGTAAGTTAACTCGAACTTATGCCAAATGACGATACTTTAGCCTAATGTATTTACGAACAAGGTTTAGTTTTTAGTTATGTCGTTGTTGCCCTCTGCCGGGTAAAGCAAAAATTTTCTTTTACTATACCATTTCATGAAATAATTTGTGACAAGACATTTTTGTTTGTTTGTTAAACATATTTTTATATACACAGTAGACTATTCCTGTTTACA